GAGTTCACGGTCACTAAGACCGGGAACAGAAGCAGTTGACCGTGAACAGACGTGAGCGATGCGGGGCGTTTTGGCTCACGCCTTGAGTTCACGGACGCGTTTGATGGTTCACAGCCGTGAACTCAGCTCATCTCGGGTTTAAAAGATGAGCTGAAAGGAGGAGAGCGAGGAGAGCCCACTTTTGTGTGAAACGCCTTCTTCAGCATTCTAGTGAGAGAAACAGAACCAAAGGGAAGAAGAAGGTTAGGGTTTGGCTTCAAGGCAGATTTTGGGAAGATTTCCCTCGAGGAAAGCTCAACTCAAGGGTCAAGAAGAGAGGGAGCATCCTCAAAGATGGTTTCCACCTTTTTCCCTTTTGTTTTTCCCACTTCTAGCATGGAGTAGACCTCTTTTCACTTGGGTGTAGTGAAACCCCAACTCTACCATGTAGTTTTCTTGTATGTGTTTTGGATGATTCTCATTGGGTTTTGTTCAATCAATGATTGAGGAATTATTCACCATGATTGTACATGCTTGTGCTTAGCAACTTAGGGGTTGTGCATGTTTTATGCTTAGCATCCTTAGGTTTGTGCATTGAGGTGCTTAGCAACCTAAGGATTGTGCATAATTGTGCTTAGCACCCCCTAGGTTTGTGCATTTAAGTGCTAGTAATCTAATTTGCCACCTTTTCCTAGTTTAGAGAGGAAAATCCCCCTTTCAAGGAAGACTCAATCGAGTTGGTTTTCCTACCTCTTTCTAAGCCACCTAAACTAGGTTAAGTTAGGGCGACCCTCAATATTGAGTTAAGCAAGTCTATTAATCGTGATTAAACCGTCAGACCTTAGAGTTGAGTGAGGGAGTAAGTCAAATTACCGATTGTCTAAACCGAGAGGGTCAAGTGACACGGCCTTTCACCCTTACCTTGGTTTACCAATTCTCCAACCACATATGCATCCCTCTGCGGTTCGCGATTATCGTTCCCAAAGGCATCGTTCCAATTCACATAGCATGGTAGCGGTTAGGGGGAAGCGACACCCAAGTTACTTTCCCACAAAAAGAGTTTTCAAACCCAATCACCATTGCTTTCTTTTATTTCAATTAGCAAACCTTTAAACCAAAGTTTTGTTTCTAGATAATGATTTCAACAACGGAAGTAGGGATAGATGGACCGGCCCGGGTAGATATCTAAATACTTGCCCTATACTGCACTCGATTAGAGTTTAAAAACTTGGGCTCTAATTGGGGTTTTATTGTGGTGTAGTTTCGTGCGAGTCAATATGATTCAAATCCGAAGAGAAACCTCGAACTCAGATGATATGACCAAAGTACGTGGCTTTAACGATTTCTTTATTTTCTTGAAATTTACCTTTTCTTAACTTTCATGATTCCTCAACTTTCCTGACTTTCTTGATTTTCTTCACTTTTTTATTTTCTTGATGTCGCCTTTCTTGAACTCGAAAATAAAAGATATGATTGAATCAATCGGGCAATCTCAACTCGTGATGAAGGGCAATTGGTATATTAAACCAATCAGACAAAATCAACTCGTGGAAAGGGGAAATTGATATAGGGTAGATGTTCGCCACAACTAGACGCGTTCTCTAGTTGATAAGAGACACGTGAAAATCCTAGAGACTCTCTACAGAAGCTTGCACAAAACGTTCCTATGGAACTCGAGTACAACTCTTAGATTGGTTGAATAAAACTTGATGAAAAATACATGTAATTCCTCCTTCTTATGTAGGCAACGAAAATCCAATCCTAAACTAAGAAAGAAAGCAAACAAATGACCAAATCTTACAATTAAAAGAAAAACAAAACCTTAATGGAAAATGAAACAAGTTGACTCATTCAACCCTAGAATCTAGCCTTCAAATCCGTCCCCTTGTGTTCATACTTGAAATTCATTTCCCACTTGTATTCCTTTCACACATTGTGTTCACACCATGGGGGAATTCCTTTCCTCTGGGCCGAATTCTTCGCTCATCCTCTCAAGCTCATCTTCTCTTGATTTTGGTCCACAAATTGTAGTAATGTGATGGGCTTTCCTCGATGCAATTCCATATCCATCAAGAACGATCCCATTTGTTCCTTGTATCGTGGAATTTGGGGCTTCGTCTTTGGACCACGAGAATTATATGTTCTGCCAATTGATTTCACATTAACAAACTCGTAGGCGTTGCTTGTAGAGCCATTTTCACCCATCTTGAATGCTCATGAGTTCTCTTTGAACCTCTTCATTCGTTTCTTGGCCCATGGTCCATGTGAAGAGATTTTTTGAGCTCCAATAATGTCATGTGGTGTGAGCAAGGTCGCATCATTCCCTCCCTCTTGAAAAAGATTTGCCCTCAAATCTTGCTGCAACATATAGGTGCTCTCCTATGACTTTATCATTCTCTGACTTGACCTTGCACTTTGAAGGCTAAGTTGATCCACAAGCCTTTTGAGTCTTTGTCTCTCTCTAATATGAGCTTCCTTGTATAATACTTCATCTCTAATAACGAACTCCATATGCTCAAAACTCGCACCATAATCTTGCAACTGAATTGACTTATATTGAGTAGACCTTTGACCATGTTCAATAGCAGAATTTGATGGTGGTAATATATTTGGGATGTCAATGATGCCCATGGACGAATTTTGGTGATGTTCAATGACATCTCAAATAGAAAAATCTATTTGAATAGGTGATGACTCATCTTGGACGTCTTCTGGAAAGATTATAGCACAATACAATGAATGGTTCTCTTCCTTTTCACTAAAGCATGTGAAAACAACTTCTCTTTCCTCAACGTGTAGAACATTTCCTTTCGTCTCCATACCTTCATTTTCATGGACAGCCTCTTCAAGAATTTCATCTTCAATGGTCAACTCAACATGCTTTGTAGATTCTTCAATAAGTGACAACTCTCCTAGAACCTCCTTTGAATTAACCTCATTATATTCAGAATCCATTATCATGTTGGTGATAGGCAGCACCTTCTCTTCATCTCCTCCTTCAAGTTCTTGTTCTTCTTGAGATGAAATCAAAGCTTGTGCATCCTCTTCGCAAGTGACTATAGCAAGTCAATCAACAAGAACCTCTTCTTACTCTTCCAATTCTTCTTTGACTTCCTCTTGGCATGCTCTCTCGTGAATGAAAAGATCTCATAGAATAATCTTCAAAGCCTTTAGAACCTTCTCCATGATTGTGAAGACTGAACTCTCTCTCTTGCTCACGATGTGTAAGTGCATACCTCCTCCTCATGCGTTGCTTCATCTCTTTCCATGTCTTTGCTGGTCGTTCCTCTCTAAAAAGTCGACTACTAAAGCATTCTTGAGTCCACCAATCAAGAGCATGATGATTGAATGTACTAGCAGCAAAGATAACCTTATCTTTCTCAGAACACTCATAGCAATCAAATACAATCTCCATCTTCTCTTCCCAATCTAGGTATGCATCTGGATTACTTCGACCTTGAAAAGTGGGGATCTCTATGGCATCCATAAGTTGAAGATATTTCTCATACTCCTCTTCGTAGCTATCTCGGCGTCTATAGTGATTGTTACTCTTATAGGGGAAACCGTGCCAAGCTTTGAATTCCTCCATTCTTCTTTTTGCCACGGAGTTTGAACCGGTCTCTAATACCACTTGATATGATCCAAATCCAAAGAGAAACCTCGAGCTTGGATGATATGACCAAAGTACTCGGCTTTACCGATATTTTCTTGATTTTCTTGAAATCGACTTTTTCTGGATTTTCTTGATTCCTCTACTTTTTTATTTTCTTCACTTTCTTGATTTTCTTGATGTCGCATTTCTTGAACTGAAAATAAAAGATAGGATGGAATCAATCGAACAATCTCAACTCGTGATGAACCGCAATTGGTATATTAAACCAATCGGACATAATCAACTCTTGGAAAGGGGCAATTGATATAGGGTGGATGCTCGCCACAATTAGAAGCGTTCTCTAGTTGATAAGAGGCACGTGAAACTCCTTGAGACTCTCGACAGAAGCTTGCACAAAACGTTCCTATGGAACTCGAGTAAAACTCTTGGATTGATTAAATAAAACTTGATGAAAAATACATGTAATTCCTCCTCCTTATATAGGCAACGAAAATCTAATCCTAAACTAAGAAAAAAAGCAAACAAATGACCAAATCCTACAATTAAAAGGAAAACAAAACCTTAAAGGAAAATGAAACAACTTTGACTCATTCAACAGTAGAATCTAGCCTTCAAATCCGCCCTCATTGTGTTCACACTTGAAATTCCTTTCACAATTGTATTCCTTTTGCACATTGTGTTCACGCCATGGGGGATTCCTTTCTTCTGTGCCGAATTCTTCACTCCTCCCAAGCCCATCTTCTCTTAATTCTGCTTCACAAATTGTAGTAATGTGATGGGTTTCTTCGATGCAATTTCATATCCATCAAGAACGATCCCATTTGATCCTTATATCGTTGTATTCGGTCCTTCATCTTTGGACCACGAGAATTATATGTTCTGCCAATCGTTTCACATCAACAAACTCGTAAGCCTTGCTTGTAGAACCATTTTCACCCATCTTAAATGCTCTCAAATTCTCTTTAAACCTTTTAATTCGTCTCTTGCCCCATGGTCCATGTGAATAAATTATTTAAACTTGAATAATGTTGAGCGAGGTCGCATCAATCTGATGCACAACAAAAATAAAACACCGAACTAAACATTGGTTTTCACGATTTTTAGAACACAACGAGCATTTCTACTATGCTATATAGCATTGGTGCTTTAATGTACAACTTGAAGTTGTACTATAACATTAAATGTATAAGTTTAAGTTGCACCATAAAGGAATTTGTATCATTATGTTATGGTACACTGTGATGGTATAACTTAAAAGAATTTGTACAGAAAATATAGGTACAATGTGAAATCGTATCATAACGTTAAAAACCTATAACACCAATGCTATATAACGGTGTAAAATTCCTTTAACACACCTAACCGTTTACAATACAACGACAAGGGACGCGGTAGCTATAGAGTATATAGGCTACAGACCGCCTTCCTCAACCCTAACTACGAACAAGGAGATAAAACCAATCGGCCATTCAGCCGGAAGGCGGCCGCGAGGCAGGAGAAAATCTTGATCGATACAAAGACACAGAGAAAGAAGAAAGCCCATCGACAAGCCTTCTTAATATTCTGAAGGCGGCGGCGATGTCGAAGCGATGCCATTACGAGGTCCTCGGCATCTCGCTGGATGCTAGCCCCGACGATATCCGTTCCTCTTACAAGAAGCTCGCCCTCCAGCGCCACCCAGACAAGCTAATGCGATCCGGGCTAAGCGAAGGCGAGGCCACAGCTCAGTTCCAGGAGTTGGTTCACGCCTACGAGGTTCTCTCCGACCCCAAGGAGCGCGCCTGGTACGATTCTCACCGCTCTCAGATCCTCTTCTCCGACCCGGACTCCGCCAACTCTGGCGTTCCTGATTTGTTCTCCTTCTTCTCCAATACGGTATTCTCTGGTTACTCCGATAAAGGGAAAGGCTTTTACAAGGTTTATTCGGATGTCTTCAACAAAATTTATGCCAACGAGGTCAGTTTTTGTAAGAAATTAGGAACCGGGTTCGAGAGTTTAAGGGAGGCGCCGTTGATGGGGAATTTGGAGAGCCCTTACAGGCAGGTGACTGCTTTTTACAGTTATTGGTTAGGGTTTAGCTCGGTTATGGATTTCTGTTGGGCGGACCAATATGATGTAATGGCTGGCCCTGATCGGCGCTCGCGGCGGCTTATGGAGGAGGAGAACAAGAAGCTGAGGAAGAAAGCCAAGAGGGAGTTCAATGAGACGGTGAGAGGGTTGGCTGATTTTGTGAAGAAGAGGGATAAGAGGGTGATTGATATGATGGTTAAGAAGAATGCTGAGATGGAGAGGAAGAAGGAGGAGGAGAAGGAGAGGAAGAAGAAGTTGGAGAGGGAGAAGATCGAGAGAATGAGGGCATATGAGGAGCCAGATTGGGCTAAGGTGAGCGTGGAACTTGATGATTTGGAAGATATTGAAGACGAGAAGAAGGAAGATGAAGGGAAGCAAGAGTTGTATTGTGTGGCTTGTGGGAAGAAGTTTAAGAGTGATAAACAATGGAAGAATCATGAGCAGTCCAAGAAGCACAAGGAGAAGGTGGCCGAGTTGAGAGAGTCGTTTAAGGAAGAAGAGGAGAAAGCCGAGGCAGACGAGGAAGAAGACTTTGTGGAGTTTGGAGAAGAAACTAATGAGACATATTATGGTTTGGATGAGGTAGAGGAGAGTTTTGAAAAGGGTTTTACGGTTAGTGAGGACAATAATGGGGTTGAGAATTTGGAAGCTGAAGATGGGTTTGTTGATACAGAAGACTCTAATGGAGTGGACGGAGCCAATCAGAATACTCAGGATGCTGTTTTGGGTAGTGATGATGGTGATGGTGATGGTGATGGTGATGGTGAAAGAAATGTCCTTGAAGCAATGCTGTCGGGACGCAGGAATAGGAAGACTCGAAGTTCTAGTGTATATGAAGATGTGTGGAAGGAAGCTTATGGTAATGGTGCTAACGAGGGACGTACTGATGTTACAGAGCATGACAGTCGGAAGAGTAGAAGGAAAGCTAAGAAAGAAAAGGGCAAGAGCAATAGTGCAGTAGGACCTCAGAATGCTGTTGTTGATGAGAGTAAGAGTATGAATGAGGAGAAAGCAGTGGGTGATGATGACCAAATGAATGAGCCCTGTTGTACTACTTCCATTGCAGATGACAATGCGAATGATATTATAAAGGAAGATCATTTGGTGAAGAATCGTAAGAGTTCAACTAGCCAATCTGCTGCCGAGAAGAAGGGCGTTGCAAGGAAGGAAACCAATTCAAAGACCACATCCAAAGGGAAGAAAGGAAAGGTAACTAACTACCTTTATCAACAAGTTTAGATTAAATGTCCGTTTAATTCATTTTGGTTTCAATGACTAAAGGTCTACTTGGCTGGATCCTGCATTAGTCCCATCTAAGCGGGCGCAATTCTTCTAGAGGAATGAGCGGTAGTTCTTTTACTTGTATGATCATATTACGATGCATTTAATACACCTCTCAATAGTGACCCTAACATGTCGTTGTTCCCACTGTGTGTTGCATTTTGTGATCCGAATAGACTGATTGTCCAAAGGTTGGTAAAAATGGAATGTGTTGGTGGTGACTGACTCTGAAATTTGCTCTGTAAATCAGGGAGGTTCGAAAAAGGCTGGCAACTCGTGTGAGGCATGCGGGGAGGAGTTCGAGTCGAGGTAAATTGCATGGCCTTGTTCATTTATGTTTGTTTGACCCTTCTTTCCTTTAATTCATGCGCATGAGATGAAGTTGATACCCCCTGTCTGCTGCAGGAACAAGTTGCATAAGCACTTGGGTGAAACAGGTCATGGTTCATTGAAATACCGATGAAGAGTATAACCAATTATTTGATTCTTATTTTCATTATTTGCTTTTGTTTGTAGAAACATCAATTTTGACCATCCATGTATTTTAGAGAGATGTGATTGTAAGAATAGAATCATATGTAAACTATCAGAATCCTACTGGTATCCATAATTCAGATCTTTCTTTGTAGTAATTGGCCTTGTTGAGATTTTTGGAACCAGCGGGCTGTTTCGGGTTCCATTCGAATAATTCATGCTAGACCAACTCCAAGCACAGGGTTAAACTTGGATAAGTGGAAGTTTAATACCCAAATACACTCCAACCATGGACATTAGGGGGGTACCAAATTAACACCCCACAACCCAATTCCGGCCACGAGGAAGAACTTAATTCTCTCTTTTTTACTTGTTTTTTTTTTTTTACTGTTGATAAAACTTGTTTTTTATTGTTCATATCGAGAAAAATAATAATTACATTACATTAGAAATGTTTCTTTTAATAAAGGGTAAATACCTTATTTTGGTCTGAACTATGACCATATAATTAACTTGGTCCGTGGTTTCGGAAATTAATATTATGGCCACAACTAGGGGCAAACCTAGGGCTGCAAATGAGCTGAGCTACTCGCGAGCAACTCGAGGCTCGAATCGGGTAAAACTCGTTCGAAACTCGACTAGTTTACTAAAGAGCCAAGCTTGAGCTTAGCTATGTTCAACTCGCGAAGCTTGCGAGCCAGCTCGACTCGGATGCTTGTGGAGCTCAACTCGTGAGTTGGCTCATTTAGAGCTCATGAGATGTATCAACATTGTGGTTTGAGGGTCAACTTGATCACCGACTTATGGATGAATCGATCTAATTTGGATTTTCATAATTCATAGGATTGTTAAATTATATATCTCACATCATGTGAAGTTTAACATGTTGATCATGTAAGAAAATATGTCTTATTTTTAATTCTATAAAGAAATTATGTACAAAATTGTTTCGATACTATGACATAACATGATTTGAACTAGTTAAAATTTATTAACTAAACAATATGATACCTACAAATTATATAATAAGATTAATTAATGTTGAATATTTGATTATTTTTTTGTCGTTACATCAATCACATGTACCATACACGACATACAAAATGAATGTATCAAATACGATCTAAGAATTTAGTAAACAAGTCTAGCTCGAACTCGAATCGACTCGGCTCGTTAATAAATGGCTCTAGCTCGAGCTCGAGCTCAACTCATTTGTTAACGAGTCAAGCTCAACCTGTGGTAAAACTCGGCTCTGCTCAGCTCATTTGCAGCCCTAGGTGAACCCAATGGGCTTTAGGGGTGTCATGAGACACCCCTAAATTTTGGAAAAACGATTATCTATCCTTTGGTGGTAATTTACGTATGGACAAAAAAATTATAATTGATAGTGAGGGACAATCCCGAAATTTGAAAAAATGATTATCCTACTGTCATTTTTAAAATTTGTGTATGGGAATATAAGTGGTAGGTTGGGTAATTCAAACCTAGAACATTATTATTATTAATAAACTTGATTTTCATTAAACTACAACTCTTTTGTTGTTCGATTTTGAACACAGTGTAATAGTAAAATGACATTTCCTATCTCTAATTATTTTCAAAACCTAACAATTAAAGTAATTTCAAGCTACCCTTAATTTTTATTGATGTTATGGTTGTACGACAAGTATTGAAAGAGTCTTTTGCTTTGGGTTACATCAAGAACAAGTTTACAAATCGAATATGCGTTAAATTCATGAATGATTGTTTAGTAGGGTATATAGAGATAATTTTTTTAACACTCTAGTCACCAATTGCATTCTACAATCATTTCTGAATATGAAACACATCATGAACTTTTTTAACCTGTACGAGTAATGTATTTTCTTATTTATAATTTTATTTTCATTTTTATTAATTATTTTATTTTTATTTAATTTATTTTTAAATGAGGACACTCCTATAGAAAATTCATGGGTCTGTCACTGCCCTCAACTATGCAACATATAGACTCAATTATCCCGACACATGGTTTGACCGTTTACCATTAGTCAACACGCTATGTTAGTCAACCGTTGGAGAAAAAGATGAAATGAAAGTGAAAAAGTGGATATATAGTGTGGAAGGTATTAAATTTGAGAGCCATGTTAGGAGTTGGTCTTAGATGGAACAATGCTGAGGTGTTTGCAAATATTTTTCCTTTCTTTCCTTTTTATTCCAGTTGCAATTGGCATATACAATAGAAATTCCAGAACAAATCCCCTGGTGTTCACAGGGTTGTTTGCCTTAGTTATATACAAAATGACTTTATTGTCTAAATGTAAGCATTTGAGAAATGTATATATTTGGGAGTGTAAGTATTACAAATGCATTGTTTGTTTAAAAGTTTTTATATGAGTCATTTTTAAACGAGTCATTTCTATAATTTTACCATTTTTCCCTTATATTTAATATGTTCTGTTATTTTGTTTCCTATTCTAATAAAACCAACCACATAAACAAAAGTATCTTGCAACCAACAAAACATATTATTTGGGTGTTTACCATGTATAATACTAGTTTCTAAATTTAAATAATAATTATATGTTAAATTTCTTTATAAAAGATAACGCCTCCATAAGTCTCGTATTTTAAGCTAATTACAAATGATAGTGTTTGTGAACAAAAATGATGTGTCGCTACGTAATTTACCCTCTTCGTCGCTAATGAAATTTGGGAGAAAGAAAATAATTCCGAGAGTAGACGGAGCAATGACATAGAAAACAAATAATAGAAAGAGAAGGATAGAAGTGGGTTTACATAAAATAGACAAGGACATAGTTAGAGCATTTAGACTAAATAATGAGTCATTTGGAAATGACTCATGGATATGAGGCATTTGAAAAAAACTCGATAGAGTCATTTGAGACTTTCACATTTACGAAATGACTCATGCGTTTTTTATTTATCAAACGAGTCATTTGAGATCAAATGACTCAATTAAATCATTTAGTAACAAGTGACTTAATCAAACGAACCCTTAGAGTTCACTTGAGTTCACGATGCATCCACACTCACCACAATACAAAACAACAATATAAATAAATAAACAAATAAATAAATAAGCATACCCATGCTCTATATAATAAGCATACCCTTGATACAATGATACCATACCATACCATACCGTGATACAATATACGATGGTGTTTCGCAGACTAGGATTTTGTATCTTATCCGCTTCCATATAAATATAATAATCCATGAATATAATTAAACATACAAAAGAGTTACTGTTGTATGAGAGTTTTGCTAACATGTGTGGTTGGTCACTTTTTGTTTGCTCACAGCCACTTTTTGTTGATTTTTTTGTGCAAGCCACTTCTTTTTATGTATTGCTAATTCTTTTTATTTTATATTTTTTTTAATCTATGCTAATAAACTTATTCTAACACGAGCCGTAGATTATTCAATATTTTCATAAATTGAAGTGGATGTTGAATCGAAAAAGTTAGTGGTTGATGTTCAACAGCTAACCGTTATAGAATCGTTAGTTATTTGTTGATTGCAATGCAGTTAAAAGCGCGATTCTACCTAGAAGCGGAAAATGGGTAAAATCGTAAAACGTAGAATCAAAGCGTAAAAGCGTAAGTTTTTTACGCACCCACTAAAATAGCTAAAATATGTTAAGTACAACATATAGTATGTAAAATGTGAGTGTGTAGATTTTAGATAAGTTAATAACTACATGAAATTCATAATTAAAATATAATATCTAACACATAAACTAATTTGTGTTGACTCAAAAGTAGAGAAAACACATAACATCTTAATAATAAGCTCATAAACGTAGATCGTAACTCGTAAACGAGTTTGAGAATCCAAATTCTCATAAGCTGGTTTGAGTTTATCTAATTACATACTATCAATTACCCATAAACTTTTATCGTAACCCAGGTAAGAGCCACAGCTGAAGACTAAGGGAGAAGACTGATAGAAGGTCACTAGCTGTTAAGAATACTATTAGGTGTCTTTTCAACCTAATATGAAGCCCCTATCTCGACACTAGTTGTAGAACGAGTGATGAATCATGTTTTTATTTTTTATTTTTTTTGTTGATATGTCTCCAAAATTACATCATTTTGGGCCAATTAGCACATTTATATGAGATTATCAAAATCGTATAAAAACGCTTCAGAATCGCGATTTTACCGATTTTAAGCGATTTTACCGATTTTACCCATGTTTTTACTAGTTTTTGTGACTGAGCGAATTTAGGTAGAAACTGAAACGTTTTGGTGGCCTGGATACGTAAAAACGTAAGTTTTTAAGTTTTAATGCGCGATTTTGACTGCACTGGTTGATTGAACCGCTCATGCGCTATAACAGAAAAATATATATAATACACTAATCTATGAGTGAATTTTTCACTAATCATAGACAATTTCAAATCCATATCATCTATTGCCTATAAGTTCTAACAAAGCACTCAAACTATCTCACAAAAGAAACTCTTAATTTCTATTTTAAATTTAAGTCAGTAATAGGGTGACAAACCGTAGTGAACCATATAAATCCGACAACGAGGTTGGGAAATGAAAAAAGGGAAGCATAAATAAAATTAATTATTGAGATTAGATAGTCTTAGTTTGATATTGTTTTAATTTTATGTGGTTAAAATAGTGAACCAATGGACCAGCTGAATTAGGTGGTTCATCTGGTTTCATCTGAAATATTTAAAAAACCATTTGTTTCATCTTTAACCATCCAATCAAATAAACCGACCGTTATTATAACTGGTTTAGTGGTTCTACTGATGCAATCGTTGATCCGGTTTGGTTCTTATAATCATGAGATTATTTCGGTTTTGCTCACATCACTACAAAAAAGACTGCAATTAGTGACTAGAGGATTCTGTCAGTAAAGGCCAAATTTCGTCGCATATTCACTTACCTATATCATGAGTTCATAATTAAGTTGTAAATATCCACATACTTTAATAATTTTTAGGGTTAATTAAATTATTAGCCAAATACTTCAAAATACAAAGTATTAGCCAAATCTTTTGTAACGTATCAAAACATTAGCTATTTGTGTATTATTGTTAATAATTTTGTAGCTCTTTTATTAATTAAAATACTAAATTTTGGAAGGTTGACCTCCACGTATCTTTTCCAACCCAATATCATGTTGCCACGTCATTGCTACTAATAAGACTGCTAATGGGAAGCTAATATTTGGACACACTTTGTATTTTGAAAGTTTTGACTAATAATTAAAAAATTTGAGTGATAAATTATATTTTCCCTAAAAAATTAATATGCCCAACCTTAGACTCATGTCGTTCTTTGAAATCACCCATCTTTAACCATGTGTTGTTGTTATCCTAATATATTCACTTACCTATATCACGAGTTGATGATTAAGTTGTAAATATTCACATACTTTCAATGATTTTTAGGGTTAATATATTTAGATGGCCCAAAATTTTCACAAATTAAATATCCTGGCTAAGCTTTTCAATCGATAACGTTGTGGCCTTAACTATGTATCAAAGTTACGAAATTGGTCAAACCCGAGATTTGACCGTTATCTTGGACGGTCAAACGCGTTGACTAACGGTCAATTCACCACATCACTACAAAGTCAACATAAACCACTTAAAAATTTGGTTTTTTCCACCTATTACCATTTATCATTTTTATTTTGAACAAAAGAAGGAAAAAAAGGAACGTCTGTTTTTTTTTTGTGAAAAGATAAATGGTGATACGTGGAAAAAATCAAAATTTGTGCTGACTCGGCAGTAAAGTGGCACATTGACCGTTAGTCAATGCTTTTGACCTTCTAAGATAATAGTTAAATTTCATGTCTGGCCAATTTCTTAACTTTGATGCATAGTTGATGTCACAATAAATCGAAAAGATTAATCAGAATGTTTAATTGGTTAAAAGTTCGAACCATATAAATATATTAACCCTAATTTTTAAGCTAACATATTATCAATACTTGCAATGTAACCTTTTTCATATTTGAATTTATCCTAAATCAAAGAATCAGACCCACGCAGAGAATTGAAACCCAAGTTCTCAATTAGAAAACAATAATTAAAATAAAAAGTTTCCTGGACCATAACATTCAGACCACAAATATAAACACAGTAAAATACCAAGGACTCCTTCTTAAGAAGGCGCAGAAGCCAGAGAAAATAGAATGGAATGGGTTCTATCGTTGCTTCATAATGAACAATATCTCAAACGATGTGAGAGGATGAGAGTGGCAAGAGCAGCAATTTCATCTTCGTAGGTAAAATTGAAAAGAACGGGAGTGAAGACGAACATCAATGTGTAGAGAGAGTGAGAGGAGAATTGCATCTACAAGGGTTCGATCTTTAATCTACTATCATTGTCACCATAGCTGCAAAAGAGAAGAAGAAAAATGAAGAGAAGGGAGAACGACTGTGCAGGGAAAAATGAAAAGAGGCATGAGAATGGCGCAGGTAAACATGTGGAGAAGTTAGGGTTTGTATTAGGAAAATTTTATACCAACGTTGAGGATCTTAGATCTAATATTTGATGACTAAAATTGAGCTAAATTATTTACACTACTAAATAAAAAAGAAACCAGTAATATTCATCTCTCTGACCTCGGTTCCGATCACAGGATGATTTTGCTGTTGTTTCATGCCTCTGCTGTCAAAACGAAGGCAAATTTTCATTTCGATTGTCGTTGGCTTTCCACATCTGAGGCAGAGGAGATCGTGGTATTTCAATGGAGTTCGTGGTATGGTGGTAATTCGCAGTTCAAATTACATTCCACTTTGAAGTCCGCTAGGCATAGTCTTTTTCACTGGTCCTTAAAAGGAACTTCGAACTCGGCTCGGGCAATCCGTGAACTCCAAGATGCTCTTCAATCGGAACGAAATAAACCTATAGTTGATTGGACGATTATCTCTGTTTTTGAGCAACAATTATCTGAAGCTTTTTTGCAGGAAGAATTGTATTGGCATCAGAAATCTCGAGTTCATTATTTAACTGAAGTAGGAGGAAGAATAGGATTTTGCTTCTTCGAGACGACGACGGGATGGCTCACTCTGATGACCTGGGCATGGGTGGTATTGCAGTTCAATATTTTGTTCATCTTTTTCAATCTGAAGTTGTCCCTTGCTTTGATTTTGTGGCCGGTATGCTACTTCCGGGATTGGTTTTGCCATCGACGAATGCCGCCCTTATTGCTCCAGTTTCCCGGGAGGACATTCGATTGGCAACTTTCAGTGTTGGTAGACTCCAAGCCCCAGGATCTGACGGGTTTACAGGTATCTTTTTTCAGCATTATTGGCATTTAGTGGGAAATTCAGTCGTTGTAGCTGTGCAGGAATTTTTCCATACTGGGCATCTCCTCCCTAATTTTAATCACACTTGGATCTCGTTGCTTCCGAAGGTCCCTGGTGCTGAAACCATGCGTCAAATGCGGCCAATTGCTTTATGCCAGGTAGTTTACAAAATAATCTCTAAAGTTCTCACTCGTAGACTACGAGAGGTTCTTCCTTCTATCGTTGGTCCCTATCAGAACGGGTTTGTTAAAGGACGTCTTATCTCGGATAATATTTTGTTGGGTCAGGAGGTTTTACAATTTCTGAAGAACAAATCCTTGGATAGCGATAAGTGTATGGCTTTGAAATTAGACATGGAAAAGGCTTATGACCGTGTTGAGTGGAATTTTTTGTTTGCTATCATGTCTAAGCTTGGTTTCTGTCCCCAGTGGCTTGATTGGTTGTGGGCGTGTGTTTCATCAGTATCTTTCTCTGTGCTTATCAATGGCTCTCCCCATGGTTACTTTCATCCTGAGCGAGGATTGCGTCAAGGTGATCCGCTCTCTCCTTTGCTGTTTGCGCTCTATACGAAAGGTTTTTCTAGTGTTATTAATCAAGCCATTCACTCTGACTTGCTGCATGGACTGAAGGTGCACCGTCGGTGTCCTAGGATTTCTCACTTACTCTTTGCGGACGATTCATATTTGTTCCTCCGGGCATCCCCTTTGGAATGTCATAATCTCCTTCATATTCTTAATTCTTACCAGCAGGTGAGTGGTCAGAAGGTCAATCTTCAGAAATCCACTGTTACCTTTAGTAATAATGTTTCTGCAGATGAAGCCTCAGCTATTATCTCTCTGCTTGGCGTGGCAATCAGTGGTCCCCAAGATCGTTACCTGGGACTTCCGATGCGCGTCTTGCGTTCTAAACAGGATACGTTTCGTTTTGTTGAGGAAGGCCTGGTTAATCGGATTCAAGGATGGAAATCGAAGTATATGTCATTGGCGGCAAAGGAAACAGTGATTAAATTAGTGGCTTTGGCCCAACCGATTTACATGATGTCGTGTTTTCGAATTCCTTCATTTTTTTGCAGGGGTTTAAATGGGCATCTTGCTCGCTTTTGGTGGAGTCAACAGGATAGTGAGGGTGGCATGAGATGGACCTCTTGGCGTGCTTTATGTCGACATAAATCAATTGAGGGTCTGGGTTTTCGTGATTTAGACTCCAATAACATTGCTTTGCTTGCCAAACAAGCTTGGAGGATTGTCCAGGATCCGGATAGCCTCTTAGCTACCACATACAAAGGCAGGTATTTTCCCAACTCCTCCTTTCTTTGTGCTACTGCTGGTACGCGCCCTTCATGGGCATGGCAGGGTGTTCTTTTGGGCAGCGATCTTTTGGTCCAAGGACTACGTTGGTTAATTGGTTGTAGACTTTCGGTCCACATTACGAATGATGTTTGGCTTCCCACCACCCCTCCTTCTAGGCCGATTTTGCTTCCTGGGGTTGTCTTACCTGACTCATTTATTTCTTGCCTAATAAATCATGGTCAAGGTTCTTGGAAGGAGAACGTGCTTTCATATCTCTTTGATACTGCCACTGTACAACTCATCATGTCTATTCCTCTGCCAATTTTTCCTGTGGCTGACCGTTTGATTTGGCATTATGAAGTTTCAGGCGAATATTCTGTGAAATCTGGTTACGGTTAGCTGCGGCTGAGTACATTGCTGATTTTTCCATGATTCCATCGACCTTTGACTCTCGCTCTTGGAAGTTTCTATGGTCTCTTCCTGTTCCCCAAAAGCTTAAATTTTTTCTTTGGCGCGTGGTTAAAGGTTTTCTCCCTGTTCGAGATGTGCTACGTGATAAGGAATTGATTGTTGATGATGATACTGAGGCTTATGCTTGCCCTGTCTGTGGTGGTGCGGCAGAGACACTTGCTCATTGTTTTTTGGATTGTCGGATTGCTTTGGAGTTGTGGGATTTGTTGGGGTACAATCATATTCTTGCTCAAATTCGCTTGTGCCATGTTGCGATAGGTTGGCGTAGGATTTTTTTTTATGCAAGGTTATCCAAAGTTGAGATTTCGCGGTTGGTTTTTCTGTACTGGAGGCTCTGGAAGTCCAGATGTTTGGCTACTTATGATGGTATTCAGTATTTCTCCCATGTTTTATCACGACATTATTACTCTTGGGTTGTTGAATGGGAGCTAGCACAGGCGCATCCGGTGAGATCTTTGCCTCGCGCTTCTTCTGCTTTTAGTGGGGTTTTACCTCGTGATCAACCCCCTCCTCCCATACCTCCCGGTGCAGTGTTGGTTCACTTTGATGGTGCCACCAAATCTTTGGTCGGATGTGCCATTGGTTTTGTTGGCTTTGCAGAGGCGAATAACTCTATATTCGCTTGGGGGCGTTTTATTCCTAATATTGATGACCCATTTCTCGTAAAGCTCCTGGCCCTTCGCGACTCCTTACGTTGGTGCATGGCTCACTCGTTCACTAATGTTTTGTTTTATGGGGATGCGCAGGTGATCGTTCGGATGATTAATGCGAAGGACTCAGCGCACGCGTGGGCGGAGCTCTCCTGCAAGAAATTCAGGTGTTGCGGGCTTCTTTCCTTCGTGCTACGTTCCATTTCGCTCCCCATAGGTATAATAGGGCTGCCCATTTCGTGGCAAGACAAGCCCTTGGAGCGATGGTGCAGACACTTGTCGATCATCGTGTTTTATTTATTTAATTTTCCTAGCCTGGTCTTAGGAGGCCTTGTATTTTGTCGTATCTTCGCTACTTCCCTCTCGGGATAACTTTGGCAAAAAACAAAAGAAACCAGTAATATACTTATCCCATCAATATCCCGGCCGCTGCGTTCGTATTTAATTAGTATTCAATTATTCATAAATTTTCTTTTGAATTATCATATCTACAACCTATATTTATTTTATCTACACAATAATTAAAAGCCAAATGAGAAAACTTGAAGCCACATTTCAAATTTCCTGCATCTAGAGTGAAAATAGGAAGGACATTTTGGTCTTCACAATTACTTTTTTTTATTCATTAAAAAACACACTTAATAGGATTTGAACCATGACCACTTTAAAGAAAAAGCAAAGATCATAACCAATCACACTAAGTACATTTGTTAGATCTTTTTAAATTAAAAACATATAATCGCAGAGAGGAAAAAACCCTTCCCCCATTTCAAATTCCCTGCTCTAGGAGCGTTTGTAGAAAGGGTAGAATAGAGAGTGCCAATTTTTTTCTTTAAGTCCTTTTATTTCTCCGTGGTGGCAAAATATATATGAAAAGGGAAAAACAATACTCCTTTTTATTACTAAAAAGAAAAAAATTTAACAATAAACTAATGCATGGATTCTAATGGGCTAATCGCTAATCATAAAATAAAAGAGTTGAATGGGCCTGACCTACACGGGATTTGCCCATCAAGTAAAACAAATGAACATCATGGGTTTGTCATTCTAAAACAAGCTATTTTCTCTAGCATAATGTATATTATGCTATTATTTTATATCTTAGTGGCTAAAATATAATGTATTTTAAAGTTATTCAATGGTTCAACCTCGATCAACCCAATTAGTCCAATTTTTATCATTTCAAATATATATTATGTAATTATTTGATATCACAATGATAAAATTATAGTGTATATTATAGGGAATCGTTTGGTATTTGTTAGTAAAAAACTAAACAGAAAGACCTATTTGGTTATTTTTAACATTAAAAATATCCTATACATTTTCAGTTTCCTTTTGAAATTCTATAGTTTTATTCCCGAATCAGTGATGTGCAAATGTCGAATTGCAATCATCTCTTTACTTTCATTATTTTTTATTTTCAAATAGAAAGTTTAAAAGTAAAGAATAATTAGAGTTTGGCATGGGTCGGTCAAACAGGCTGAATTTCAAGTTTTGACCCGTTTTGATCAAGTCTAATTTATAATCACATGGTTCCTTGATACCCGGTAAAAATCTCAATCCAAACCAGTTTGGCAGGTGAGTACGTGTTTACCACCATTTTCTAGGGATACAGGAACATTGGTTTCTATCCCAAATCGTGTTGTTTATTCTTGATTTCTTTAGATTTTATCATGGCTTGGCAAAAAACCAGAAAGCAAAATGATGACATGATGAAAGTTTTATAAAGAAAATTAATCGGCCAACGGGCCGAGTAAAAGCTAGCAACGATTGTGAGATGCTCATTTCACGAAAATCGGCGGGATAGGCGATTTTTTATTCGATTTTCTGGAATTCGGTTTCTATAAAACTTACTCCATCTTATCATATTACCAGAAACAATATTGTTTCACAAGGTAACAGGTACTTGATCTTGGTTCATAAGACTGATTTTTGATTCGTTGCATCATTTCATGTCTCTTTCCTACTAAAATTCACTATTTTTATCACGTGTTTCTAAAAAAAAAAAACTATACAACAATAAGCTATACATCCCATTACATTATCAAATTTCATACCTCACCTTCCTCCGGACAAATGGCCGGGGCCCGCGCTAGTTTTTTGGTATACACGGGCATACATTGCTTCCTCTTTTCGTTATTAACCTTTTATAAGAACTGAACCAGATCAACGGTCGGACCAGTAGAACCGCCAAACCAGTTACGATAGCGGTCCGGTTCATTTTTTGGACGGTTATTGATGGATCAAATGGTTTTTCACTACTCAACATAAAACCAGATGAACCACCACGGTTTAACTGGTTCACTAGTTCACTAGTAACAAAAAAATATTTTAAAAAAATGATGTAAACTAAGACCATCAAACCATAATTATTAATTTTATATCTGCTTCCTCTTCTCATTTTCCAACCTGGTTGTCGCTTTACGTTGTCTACTACCAACTAGCACCGTAATTTAATTTGAATTAAAAAATTATTATTTCTTTTGTGAGACGGTTTGAACGGTTTATTAGAGATTTTGCTGATAATATGAATTTGAAATTGTTTATGATCAATGATAACTTCATTCTTAAATTAGTGTAATATACAAGTCTTATACGTTATATATCATGAACGGTTCTATCAACGGTTTTGTAACGGTTAACTACTAAACTCTAAACCACTAACTTTTTCAGTTCAGCCTCCAATCCTGTTATGAAAACAGAGGTTATTATTTATAATTAATATATTCTTTTGCAAGATAATTGAAAACATGTTTTTATTGAAATTATAATGATCACCAACCCTGTTCCTCCCAACTGTGTCATCTCATTTTTCAAATATAAAGGTAATGAACCATATTTTATTTTTATTGAGGGTAAGTAGGATCATCTGAAATAAACAAATATCAGACTTAAATTTAACTGCCAACATAATTTTAGTAGTCACAAAACAAATAATGATGATGCCCACTTTTCCAAAAAAAAAAACAACCTAATAACGAAAATTCTTTGTATTTACCAACATGGTATAGATTTGATCACAAATACACAACTACTTGACCAAATATCATTGACAACAATATTGTATTCATCGGAAAAAATGAGGGCACCAAAATTTCCCTTCAAATAATTCGTTTAGTGGTGAGGATTTTTGTCTTTACCGACGAAGTTAACCTTTGTCACAAATACACAACTATTTGATGAAACATAATTGACGACAATAAAATCTTGCAAATAAAAGTCATTGTTAGCGACGAATTTCAGTTGTCATTGGTAATTTTCGTCACTAATGACAGTCTTTTTTTGTTGTGAATTCCCAACCCTTTTTATTTTTGTTTCTTATTAGTTTTGGCTAATCCACAACGACAACCGACCTCATCACTGATTGGCCACATTTGAGGTGTTCTGATAGAAACTTATTTCTAGGGTTCTATCGATTGGATTGGGGAGATTGAGAAGTGATAGGAATTTAGGGATTTAGATAGAATTGGGGATTAGAATAGGGATTTGGGAAAGAACGTGAGAGGAAGAGGAAGAAAGAATGGCTGGCGGCTGATTAGGAAGAGAGGAGGGGTTTAGGGATTTGGGGAGATAATCTTTCTTATTATTTTCTGCTTAATTGAATAGATGAACATCAACGTACATATATAGGAAAAGAACTAGAAAACACTAACAATTAATCTAATACGACTAAAAGACTAATTATCCTAATATAATAATAATTATAGAAAAGAAACCGAACGAAAGTTGGTTTCTATCCTGTTCCATTCATATATATTCTTCGGGTAAATTACAAGGTTGGTCACTGGGTTTATTAAAAACTTTCATGTTTGGTCACTGAAAATATTTAATTTCATTCATGGTCACTAAGATTAGTTTAATAGTTCAAATTTGGTCACTCTCCGTTAGTCTCCGTTAGTTTTTACTGATGTGGCAGTCAACTATTATAGTTGACCGTTAAATGAGTGACGTGGACATTAAAATATTAAAATAATAAAATTTAAATATTTATAATTTCCACATCATTTTACAACTACTAAAAATAAAAATAAAACTTAATTCATATTATTTTATAAACACCTAATATTCAGAACCAGGAATAATTCCGCCGTCGACGCCTCTCGGCGGATCTCGACTACTTCGAATTCCTCGATCTGCTCCGGCAAAGGGTGCTGCTGAATCCAGTTACCCGAGGGTTTGAAGACGATGGACTTTGGGTTGGGCACCATCCGAAACCACAACAAATTGGTCCGAGCCATTCTGCAACAACTCATTTAACGGTCACTCACCGCCGCCGCCGCCGTTGCTGTGCTCCTCCCTTCTCCCCCTCTGTCCTCTGAGCTGTCTTTGTAGTGCGGGAGCTGCTTAGATTTTTCGAATGGGATTAGTTAAGGGAATAATTCAGTTGTTGAAGGGGAGATACCAGAGATTGATTTTATATAAACAGGAATGAAATGGGGGAAGAAAGAAAGGCTCAGTTATTTGACTTTTGCTGTTGAAGTTGAAAGAAAATGACGGAATTGAAGAGCTTCTGAGTAGAGATGCGAGGAAGGGGAAGCGAAAATACGCGCCACGAGCAGTGGCGGAGTCAGGAATCGAAAGTGCTCGTGTCCTCTTTTCAAAATATAAAAAAATATATTAAATATAATTAAAAATAATAATATCCAAATATATCATTTATATATAATAACGAAATAACCAATCAATACAATCACTATTTTCATAAACAACTACGATACATTTTCATATTCTGAGTAAAATTAAATTTATGTATGCCTTTAAACAAGAAATGTGTTGTAATTTAGTGGTATAACACTCTTATATTACTTAGATGTCATGAATTCAATACTTAATTTGGACTACTTTTTTTGTTACCCTAGAAATTACCTGTGTCCTGGGACACATCCCAGGACCCTTGGCTCCGCCTATGGCCACGAGACCCTTTTTTTTATTTGTTAATATTTTTTATTTTTTGCTATTATTATCTTCCTCGTCGTGGCCGTATCTGGCGGTTAAGGTGGGGATCGACGGCTGGCGTAAGAGCTGCTTCCGGTGGATCCACGGCTAAGGTTTTCATCGGTCTTTGTCAACGGTCACTCTCCAGTTGTCCAACGACTTCTATAATCCAATAAGTGGACGAGTCCATTTGTGCCATATGTTTATTGAGATTAGAATAATAGGAATTAAGTTTTATTTTATATTTTAATAGTTGTAAAATGATGTGAAAATTGTAAATGTTTAAATTTTATTATTTTAATATTTTTTAATGGCCACGTCACTCATTTAACGGTCAACTATAATAGTTGACTGTCACATAAGCAAAAACTAACGGAGACTAACGAGAGTGACCAAATTTGAACTATTGAACTAATCTTAGTGACCATGAATGGAATTAAATATTTCAGTGACCAAACATGAACGTTTTTAGTAAACCGAGTGACCAACCTTGCAATTAACCCTATATTCTTCCCGTGCATTTTCTCGATTTTCATTGGCTCTCTTCTTGATTCTTCTTCTTATTAGTCGTCATTTTCCCTTTTTCTTCAATCTCATCAGTGCAGACCACATTGGCTAGAGCTGCGATGGAGACGACCCAACTTTAGGTAGAAAAATTAGGGGGGGGGGTGAACTATGGTGTTGCGGTGGTGATCAAATATGAAGCAACGGATCAAAATTCTGTCTGTCGTCAAATTTTTTCTTTTGTGAAATTTGAGATAAGATTTATCATTTATGTGACCATGATGCTCTGCCACTAGGGCTTCTTCCCGATTTTTCCGCTGCTTCTTCCCTATGTTTCTTTCCTTTCTTGGTTGATCAATTTTGTGCCCCTCATTCCGCTGTTTCTTCCCTATTCCCTATGTTTCTTTCCTTTCTTGGTTGATCAATTTTGTGCCCCTCGTTTTGGTTTACTGATTACTAATGAACCAGACAACACATTTATCAATTTTTTATTTCATTACCGTTCTTTGTTAACATATGGTTACTAATTGTTGTTTGCCTAATAGAGAGACCTATAGGTGCAAAATCCTAAAAAGTTGGCTTTGGTACTAGCATCCTTTATTTAGCTCATCGGTAAAATAAGGAAGATCAATTAAAAGACACTCACAAATGACGGACATTCAAAAGCAACGTACAAGAATTGTCCCATGCCGCTGCGGAGCGCGGCTCATAACACATCTAGTAATAATAAATAAATGTAAGAGCTTTCCCGGACCAAACAGCTCTTCATACGAACACATGCGGAACCGAGGCAGTAGATAAGCTAGCTAACACATAATAATAAATGCTGTTTGGGATCAAAGTGGCTCGCCAGAGGAAGCTTGTTTAATGTAAGCAATGGCTTCCTCTTCTGACAACTGTCCTCCTTCAACGAGCCCCCTCACTAAGGTGTTGGCATACTCTTTGCATGGAGCTCTCAATGGGAATTCCCCACACCTAAACTTCTCAGCATCAGACAGCGAGCACCTGAAGAATATAATCAATCAACCATCCAAATGGTAATGACAATGTAACCGACCTACACAATTTTCAGTAGTAAGAATGGAGGAGCACATACGTCATGGTGAGAATGGGAAGATCCTGCTCCTTTCCCATGTAAACCACATTACGGTACCAACCACTCTGCATCACATAACAGGCGGGAGATTGAGGAACAGATCGCCAACAAAATCTCGGAGAATGGGAAAAGGGATATGTATCAGAAACACCTTAAAAACCTCCAGAGAAACAGATCCTTGGTTAACGGCAGAATTCAACTCGGTCAAATCGAATACAGGAGAGCTCATATCATGGCAAGAGACGTTCTCCTGAAGTAAGACATCGTTAAATTGCTCTAGCCTGCAGGAGACAAGATGGAGCCAAGCTTTAGGAGAACTATGTAACTGATAGTGAATACTGACAGCTTTTTGGTTTTACCAAGTAACCCTGAACAGAGTTATAAGTGGGCAACTTCCATTACTCACGTGATCCTATAGAGGCACATATGTGCTTTTTCATGACTGCTGCTCTCTGGAAGGAGGAAAGCAACCCCTCCCGGACCCCATGTATCAGTAGACTCGTGACCAAAGAATAACCTGTGGGGGAAAGTTTTCCACATGATTCCCTTGGATGGGTTTTTGTCCACCGAACCAGTACACGCCTTCTGCATGCCTTCCACCTGAAATATCGACAACTCCATAAAATGGTTCAATTGTTGCCTCCATTCGAACATCACAACTTTTGTTCGCTCAAGAAAAACGAAAAGATGGGTAAATATTATTACCTGACCGCCTTCGATGTAACAGCGGAATCTAGGCTGCCACATATTCGATCCAAAAGTAGCATACCAAATATCAGTTCTGGAAAGCACTGGCCTCCAGGAGGTGAAAGATGCAGATCCTCCTGCAGATATGAAGGTCAAACCGGAATTAATTTACAGCAAAAGTCAGGGAATGAAGTTAATTTGGGATATGGAAAGGTTCGACTTTCAGAGTCCTCTCTATACCACTATGATCTTCAACTGTCAACTTTGAAAGTGGTCCCACAACTTCCTCAAGAGCAGCCTCAACATTGTCAGAAATAGTGTTGGATGGTTTCCCATCCTCGCCTTCAGAATCTGAGCTTGAGACTAGAAGATGCTGAAATAAGCCAAGTCTACATGTTACCAAAATTGATTAAACGAAGCTGGTACAGTACAAAGGAGGAACAAGAGCACAACCAGTTTATTCATAGAGTTACGATTTGGCATTCATGAAGAAAAGTTTAAACCAAAAAATAGTGGAAAACTAGAGTTGGAATTTGAAAGTAAAACCTAGCACCAGCACAAATGAATTTGAACAAATGCCGGAGAAATCATAATTGACATTAAGGTCTGGTACTGCACATTTTGGCTCCGGCTCATATTGAGTGCATTTTTACCTCTGAAGCAGGGAAACAAACTACTTTTGCTCTTCAGATCATAATTTTTAATTGAGTATTCAAAATCAGCCAACTATAAACAAAATGACGAATGAATTTTCAACATTCCAAAGACCAAATGAACCCAAAGATGAAATTCTCGACTAATTAACGCAATATTGACAACAGTTATATAAGCAAAGATTTCGAATACCAAAAGCAATGTATATGCTTTAGTGGGCAAAGCGAAGATAATGAGAATGGCTTGAAAATCACGACTTACCGGAGGTGGAGCCTTTTGATTTGTTAAGTTTGTTGGTAATTCATCGACAAAAACAGGCCAATAAGCACTCAATTTTTTGCGAACCTGGACAATGATGCATCATTCAGCAAACCCAATAAGCACTTTCTACACACATTGCATACAAGATGACAATACATTCCACATTACCTCCTGTATCACACGCCATGTAGACTCAAATGGATAGGCCTCCAACGATCTTGCAGCATGCTTACGTTCAAGTAACATCTCCATGCAAGCAAGAAATGAATTTGCAATAGAATCAAGATTGTATCCTCCTTCAAAGGCTAACACAACTTTTCCATGAGAAAAATCCATCAACTGAAAAGAAAGCACCAAAATCAATAACAACAAAAGCATCCCTCAAGAATGAAACCATGGAAATCATGCTACCGTCGCTCTTTTTTTTTTTTTTTTTTTTTTGAGAAATCATGCTACCGTCACTCTTCCCCAAAGATTGCATCTATAAAACATGAGGGGCAAGTCATTAAGAAGGATATGCAGTTACCTTTCCCAACATCACTGAATATCCATACGGTGTGACACGGCAACCACCAAGCGGATCTCCAGCAGCTGAAAACAATCAGAAAGTATTATAGAAATGCATCAAGCTTCTAAGCATAGACAGTTATACTTAATGATGTCACCAGAGAAGACGAATAAAAAACATATATCTATGATCTTTGTCACATGCTAAACCAATGACGAGATAATTTATCAAGAAGCTAAATAACAAAGGCCAGACATAAATTTATAACATACATATCGACGCCAAAAGGTCTCTGCGAAGAAGGAACTCATCAAGAAATGTAAAAAGCTACATCTGCCTACCTCCCAAGTGTCAAGATACTGCGAAGTTCAAATTATTTTAGATAAGCCAATATTCTGAGATCATTAAAAAGTTTTCAAACAAAATGTATGGCCATGCATTGAGTAGTCACTTCAATAATTTCGGCGCAATCATGGACCCATATTGGATGAGAACAGAAATCCGAACTATGAAAGTTTATAAAATTACTATAACAAACCTGCATCGAATCCTGCTGACACTATTATTATGTCTGGATCAAATTCTTTCGTAACAGGGATCAAAACATGATCCCAAACAGCAAAATAGTCCGCATCTCCACATCGTCCGTTCTCCCAGGGGACATTTATATTATATCCTGCACCCACACCCTCACCCACCTTGGTGTAGCAGCCATCGTCACTGAATGGGTAAAATGAACCAAACTCGTGCCTGCACAAATTAAATGTCCCTTCACGAGTAGTTAACATAATTTTTTTTACTCATCTAGTCTGTGTATGTAAAGAACCACTTTTCAGTAAACACATGAAGAACAAGAGGCAGCCAGAGTATCAAATATCATCCTTGCTCTGTGAGGGGGATTAAAGCATATTATGTGATTAATCAAAGTCAGGATGCCTAAAAAGGTTCTTCGAAGCATGATGACTCAGAAAACAAAAGCAGAGATAAAAACATATTATGATAGTTAAACAACAAATAGTATCATTTCTACAAGGTAGTTTGGATGCCTTTTCCATTCCTTTTTTGTACGATAGTAAGTGTTACATGTGGTATACAAGGAGAAAATTATATCAGCAGAGAAAATCACTAACTTTACCTATGGACTGAGAAAAACAGTACCCGCGGATCAGTCCAGAACATCTTCTGGGTACCATTTCCGTGATGTACATCCCAGTCCACAATCAAGATCTTTTTTATGCCCAATTCTAGCTGTAAGAAAAGAGAAAATTGTAGGCAATGAGTTGAAATCTCAATTAACAAACAAAGGGGTTGGAATGAAAAAAATTTAGGTTACATCTAGGCTCTCACAAACTGAATATCAACAATAAAACAACATTTAAACCTTACACTTCCATCTAACAAAAAGCTGGCTGCAATAGCAACATTATTGAACAAACAAAACCCCATGGCCTCATCAAGTTCAGCATGATGACCAGGAGGTCTAACAATGGCAGCAGCAGAATCCAACTCCCCTTTGGCAACTTTTTCTGCAACCTAACAAAACCAAAGGTCGCTGTCATAGAGTGTTAACCATGCTTGACCATATGATCCGATGGAAGCAAATAATAGCTCCGTAAGAGCCCAAGATAAAAAAGGAATTCAAACAGGGAAGGCAGCAAATAATACCTCTACAACAGACCCAGCAGCAAGGTAAGCAGCTTCGGATGATCCCTCGTTGAAGTATATGGAATTCAGTTTGGCGGAAACCCTGTTCCTCCTCGAGTTGCAGCTTATATTTTTGATCAAATCGACATGTCTTTGAGTGTGTACAGCCAGTAGATGTTTGTCTTGTGCTTTTTTGGCGTCTAGAAGAACACATCTGAAAAAGGGTTGCAACCCCCACAATGCCGCACAATCAGAAACCTAAAGCACTAATTCGCCCGATAAAAATAACAGCAACAACAAAATTGAAAAGGTGACGCAGCTCAAAAAGGCAAAAGGACTAAAAGAAGTATTTCCTGGCCTCCGTGAAGAAGATTCTTGACGTTACCAGAATTCAGCAGTTTGGCAGCTCGGTAAGTAGAAACCCAAAAGATGAAAAACAAAGGGTTCCAGAAACGAGACGAGACGACTACCTGCTCGGGATATCATTGGCTTGAAGCTTGCTCCAAATAGCCCTAATTCGATCAGGATTTTCAGGATGGTGCTCGCCGTCCGGAGTAGAATGTTTACACATACGCTCGTCGTACAAAAGCCCAACTCGACGTTGACGGCTGCTCGTCTTGCTTGTACTGCCTTTCTCCACCTCCCCCATGACTTTCTTCTTCCCTCCCTCCGTCGAAGCGAGAGCGAGTAACTACAGCAGCTCCGACAAAGAGTAAGCGAAGCGTCAGTCGTGTCACTGACACTGATGAGCGCAGGACGTGACTCGTGAGTCGTGAGTACGAGGGGTGACAATTGGCTGGTTGGTTGGGTGGATTTTCGAATTGTCTCACCCACAAGTTCTTGACCCACAATTTTTAGCTCCAACCTACTACTTGACAGTTCACTATTGGTTATTTTATCTTTCTTTCCCTTTATTTTAAATGCTTTTTATGAATGGAATAAATAAAAAATAAATTTATATCTATCTATCTATCTATCTATCTATATCTATCTATATCTATCTATATCTATACTTAATATTATGGTTATTCAAAAGTAACTTCTTGCCACATAAGCACTTGGTGAATTCACAAGATGCCAAGGTGGACAATTTTTTTACAAACAAAAATTTATTTATTGATCTATTTATGAAGCTATCTCTCTCTTCTTTTAATAATTCTACTCATTTTTACTAAAACTTAAATTAAGTTACTTTTTTGTGAAACATTTAAACAAACAAACCCATAAGTAATAATTTTTTTTCAATTAAACAAACTATAAAGATGAAAATAGAGAGTGACATATATCGTGTTTGTTTAACCCAAAAATATCTTATTAAATCTCATTAAGTAAATTTTCTATTCATTTTTACTAAAATATATTATAATAAGTTACATTTTGATAAAAAATTTATACGATGGCGTAAGAGAAAATAAGTGTTTGAAAATCAAACGACTTTGAAAAATGAACTATATGACTATATATTATTTTGCTATCGAACACTCAATTCTTCCTAATGCATATACTTATAAAATAAAATAAAAAAAATTTATATAGAAAAAAGACTGATGTTAAACTTGGCAGAGCAATAATTGTTGTTTTTTTTAAACACTTCTTATTCATTCAGATTAAATGAAAACATATTAATTATAAATGCAACCTTTTAATTTATCTCTACCCTTTTCCCATTTTGATTGTCTCTATAAATAAAATCCAAATATTGAAAATAAGAAATTAGATAGAGAAAGAGATGGTAATGCATATGAAGTTTTATTTTTCTTTGTAGGATAATAGGAGGAGGGAGGTAGACGAGGCAACGACTATATGGAAAATTTTTGAGCAGTTGTAACATATTTTGTTTGTTGATGAAAACTGTTCATCCTATCATTGCGAAGACGAAGTGAACCAAGCCTAGGATTGTCGACTGCTCCCTCTTCCTCCTTGATCTGAAGCTGGCAACTGCTCACTCTTCTTTCCATTCTTTTCTTAATTTCTTCCAAATTAAGACTGTTGGATGGTAAATTTCCCCACTCGATGAGCGAATTTATTTCTTCTTCGTTTTCATGGAGTTGTTTTATGTTCTCTATTACGTCTTATACTAATAGGTAATATATAAGTATAAGGGATAATTGATTGGAATTAGGGCATATCTCCTTTGGTGGAATAATTGATCGTTTTCCTTAAATGGCTATTGCAACCCGATTGCTTAGATGTTGAAATGAAAAGTAGATTTGTTAGGGTTGTTCATTATATTTTTTATGTTCATGATTGACATGCTACTAGCTAGCTATAAGATGATGATCTGGTTAGTAATTAGTAGGTAGCAAAGGGATTATAGTAGAAGGGACCATAATTGGGGTTTTATAAAGGTCGTGAAGAAGAAATAAAATGATGGTGGTGGTTCCTCGGTTGCGTATTTCGATGTTTTTTCAATTTCTACACATTTGCAATAACATATGTTTGTTTCATTAGGGTGGATTTTTTCTCATTGAATCACTAACTAAAGTCTGATTTTGACATGATTGTTTTTTACCAACTACCATTTGGATTGGTGCATAAATTCAGTTCACAAATTAGGAATCTGCAAGATAGAATGAGTTGAGTTATATTGAAGTACTCCTTTCATTATTTGTCTATGTTGTTATTAGGTTAAAAAGCACAAGTTTTTTTGCATGAGATATGTAGCTCTCTATAAAATATAAATTGTGTTGATATGCAGTTTAGTTTACTGAAAGTATTGTTTCAATAAATAAGTGACAACTGATAATTCTGTTTGTGGTTGGTTTTTTTAGAACATTGCCAAGATAAATTAAATGAGTATGCGAAAGATTGATGGATGTGGATGCTAATGTGTTTCATTATTATTCCAGAATTGCAGGTGTAACTTATAATACACGATATTCGAGGATCTAGATCGGAATATTCTCTATTATCATATACGGACATATGAGAAGGGAAAGAAAATGAAAAGCTCTTAGCTTTTTTTTTTTTTACTAATTGAAGCATATCTTCTTATTAAACTTTTTTGTTTGTGGCCTTAAATTTGTTAACTTCTTTATCACTTTTTTTAGTTTGATACAAAAATTTTAAATCGATAAAATTTTTTTAAAGAGAGCTTAGTTAATACAATTAAATTTTTCATAAATAAAAAAGATAAAAGTATGAAACTTTACCTAAAATAAGGTAAGTGAGATTTACAATTGCATGTACATTAGCTCAACAAACATAAATAATAATAATAATAATTATTAGAATACTATAATGAATTATAAAATAACCAAACATAATGCACCGCCCAACGGGCGGGTAAAAAACTAGTTACTATATATAACATGACAGAAACGGTAAGAAAGAATGACGGAGATACTTGTTTTGATGATTAAATAAGAAGTTGCGGCAACATAATGAAGACGAAAAAACAATGCTTGTTTATTTTGTAATTGAAATCAAGGGACTTGTCTGTTATTCTATGAGATAGTTCAGGTCCTAATTCATGAATCAGTCGATGCTATTATCACAATTTTGGATCATCGGAATATGAATTTGCTATTGCATCCTGCAAAATGAAAAATAGACATCAAGTTAAAATAGTAATAAGTAAAATGATAAAATATAAATAAAATTATTATTATTTCGCATACCTGTAACAATTGAGTGTATGACATATGATTGAAAGATATTGTCGAGTCAATGTGCTTTTTATGGATAATATTTGTTGGTATAGTAATCGAATTCTGTGATTCATATTGTGCCATGACCGTATGCTCCTGACGCATAGCATGCTCCAGATTATTTGCACCGTTGATTTATTCTAACGATCATTATTAATTATAATGAAATTAATTATTAATTTGTAATTGCAATTACTATTTCAACGTGTTAAAATTTTATACATACACAATAGTTCCAAAACAATTTTTTCATTACTTTTATAATAAAATACACAGAGTTCTTTCGATTACAAGTTTTCAATCCCATATTTTATATAAATTCTTTTCACTTGTTCCTCAATTTGAATAGCCATAACTTTCTCAATCCAAACAAACAGACCATTTTTGCATTCTTTCCCATTCCCCTCCACAGAGCCCACAATATGATCTTTAATGTACTGTGTTATCCAAATGCATCTCCTTCTCCAGATTGTATGGTTGCCCTTTAGCTCCCCTCATTCCCTAGTCCTCTTCTTCTCTTCGAATCCGCCATGATTGCTATTATTATCATCTTTAACTCTCTCAAATTCACAATGTAAACAGCATCCACCACTTTACTTATTTGCTTCTATTTTTTCATCTCTGTTCCAGCGTCATCCCCTTGCTTCTACTCAACGACAAAAGGCCCAACTCCTGTTTCTTCCATAACCCCTGTCCAAGAAAAATAACAACCATTCAAACCCCTGACATACTGAGTTTGTCGCTGATAGCTCGATTCCACCTCCTTCGTTGTTGTTCTGGGGCTCGATTCCGGCAACTTGGAACCGATCTTTGAAGTATTCAAATTATCCACCGCAATCATAATGTTCCACAAGGGCGTTGCTTCCTTCTAGGGGATTCACGTGAGTGAATTTTTTGTTAGAAATCGAACAGGAAAAATTAGGTTACCGATCTGGCTGAGTCGCGGACTACGTCGCTCTCTTTAAGACGTTCGCGGCACTGCCTCGTTATTCGCACAGCAGACTATCAGCCGGTCGCCTCCAGGATAAAAGATCCACTCTTTTGATTTGTTCAGCGGTTTTGTGCGAAAAACCGGAGCTCTTTGAATCTCACTCTCTCTCGTGTTTCTGCTCTTCTGAGGTGTCTTTAGAGGGTCTGGGGCGTCTCCTATTTATAGGAGCAGAAAACCCAGAATATTTCCTCTTTCTTTGGGAATAAGTCACATTTTAATTAGGGAGATAATTACTCCCATAATTATTATATTAAGATAATTATTCCTAATTATCTCCATAATATTCCTTTTATTAATTATCCATCTTAATTTCGTATTATGGGAAAATACTGGATAATTAATTAGAAATTTCATTATAGCTTTTCAAAGCTATTCATCCCAACAATCCCCCACTTGAATAGTTTGAAACTATCTCTGAGCATCAACAGTTCCATAAGATCGGGCATAAGTTAAGGTATCGCGAAGATTTGAACCTTAGCGTAGTGGTTACACTTCCGATTTCATAAGGGCGACTCGTAGTCTTGAACCCTATCTTAGACAATGTAGCACACCGGATCTTTTCATTGAGTGATATTCTCTCATAGGCCGTGCGTTTATGGCCATGCACGTTATCCCGATTTAGTGAACGCTCTAGCAACTTTGTGCCTTCAAAGTTCCATAGAGAGCGGCCCCACTCCCACATTCACATAGGTAAGTCTATCAGAAGTACTCCCAAAGTAAAGTACTTCACTCCACATAGAGTATAGATCTCATTAAGATTTTAACTCAACCTCCAAGGCTTTGGGATTCATGCTTCACTATGCATGAACTTTTCTCAATATTACTCATGACTTGTTATTACCCATTGAACCCGTTTCTTGGGATCTCCAGTCTATCGGTCGGGTTACCATCACTTGTAATCCATGGTTCGGTAGGCATAAGTCTCATACCCTTTGTGGTATTTTGGACTTTCTCTCTAGCTAGTGCTTTCGTCAAAGGACCAGCTAGATTCTTTTATAATATCAAGTTCATCCTTTCGTCAAAGGATAAATTAGATTCTCTTTTAAGTGATCCACCCTTACTGCTCCAACAGTTAGGGACTCTCTCTTCCAGTACTGTTCTTATGACGAACTTGTCGCCTCTCACCGTTTGTTACGGTTCTATTAAGCAATTCCTATTGCAATGGATCAATACCGGCGGATACGGTCTTTCCCATAAGGGAATCTCTAGTAATGACCCTCTCAATCAA